TGTTACAAATTGAACATAATTAAAGCATAGTGATTAATCCCAAAAACAATACGTAATTATATATGTGTTTTCCAATGGTCTTAGGCAACCCCTGTGACAGGGTTGTTCGACCCCCAAATGGGTGGCAACCCCAGAGGTTGAGAACTGCGGCTCTAAGGGAAGGCGTCCTTACTTGAAATAATCTGCCCTTTTAATGTTTTAGTCCCACACTAGTTAACTCTTATTTCTTAGTTCATCCTCATCCTATCAAAACCTTCCCTTTTGTACATCTCATCAAGTGACCTTCTAGTTCAGCCGTGGGCAAACTACGGCCCACGGGCCGGATCTGGCCCGTTTGTAATGAATAAAACTAAAAAAAAAAAGACCGTACCCTTTTATGTAATGATGTTTACTTTGAATTTATATTAATTCACACAAACACTCCATCCATGCTTTTGTTCCGGCCCTCTGGTCCAGTTTAAGAACCCATTGTGGCCCTTGAGTCAAAAAATTTGCCCACCCCTGTTCTAGTTGCTAGATGGTGGGGTGGTGCCTGATTCTCAAATCACTTAATAAAGTCAATTAGGTCTTCAAATTTACTCATTTAAATTTTAACAACTGTAAACATGTAGTTTAAACTTAATTTTATCTACCTAAAACTGTTTTTAAAAATTGGCAGGATGAAACCCTATGTAGTTTTGAGTGTTTATCAGGAAAAATCATGTTCACCTACTGAAGTTCTATAGCAGAACTCAAATTGAGGTCAAAATTCCTAAACTTCTATACCAAACCTGTACTTTTCTGGAGTGGCTCACAGAACTCGGAGACATTTACACTTACCAATCTATCCTATCTAATAATAGACAAACATGGTAATTAACCGTAAATTTGCTACCTTTCCCATTGGCTAATCAGCGAGATATGCAAATTAACTGCCAGTCAAGATGGCAGCCAGCAGACACACAGCTGAAGCGAACATGAGGCTTGCTTGCTCCAGTGACAGAGGAAGCCAAGGTTCCCTGACTGCTGCAGCCCAGCTCTGAGCTCCAGATGCAACAATGTTGCAATTATAGAAGCTAAACAAACCCAGATATTTTCCTTCAGCCAGCCACAGCCTCAGAGCTGGAGCTGGCAATCAGTTCCAGTGACAGCTATAGAAGGTAAATAAATCCCAGAATTTGTCAG